CTTTCTTTAAGCTTGGGTTGCTACTATGATTGAGCCGGGCTGTCTGATCCTCTCGTGCGGTGCGGTAGATCCCTGCATCGAAAGCTTAGCTTGCTGCTTAATTTCTGTGGGGGCTTGGGCGTGAATCACCTCCTCTTGCTGCATGTCTACTGTTGCGCTGACATGTGTGGTTTCTGATCGCCGATTTTGACATGAAAAAAGGTGACATCTTTTAGCCTCCTGCTGCTGATGCGCAGATTTGTTCTCGGCTCGATCCAAAATCCCCATCTCCTCATGCCCTATCCTTTTCGTCTTTGTGACGGAAGAAGATGAGGGGCCTCTTTCAGGCTTGAGCTGAGCTCCCAAGGTTTCCAATCGGCTCAAATTTTGCGTTTTTTGGAATCCGAAAAATCCCACCTTTAGTTCTTGTTCTTGTTTATCACCAAGTGATACTACTTGCTTGTTTGTGAGGTCGCTATCATCATAAGATATACTGTCATGCAACTGTTGCCTGTTAGTTCGGCTGGTGTGAATTACTATTGCTTTCTCGGGATTATTATGTTCGATTGATAAAGACAACGCCATGTTATGTGATGTAGATGCGTTTTGTATTGCTTTTCCATGATGCATGATCTTTTTGCTTTCGGACCCTAGTTTGATGGGTACACGATTCTAGACAGTATCTGGCAATTGACTTGGAACGGGTATCAGGTTCCCACTCGATGACGCCCCTTATTTTTACTCTGATTTGGTCATGGCTGGTAACTGGTTGGCATCTTTGGTTCCTGACGGTCCAATTGGGCTGAGTGTGAAATCAATTGCAATACCTGCTGCTCTGCAGACTATGTGAGCTGCTGTTCCTTTCTAGACTTACTATGGTAATAAACCTCTTTTTTTTTTTTTTAAATCCTTGTTGCCACAACAGATTAGCAAGAGGGTATTCAATGTGATGAAGAGTGAATTCTTGTCTGCATCGAAGTCAGATGGGGCAACCAAACAAGAAAATTATCCTGCCTTTGGCCTTGGAGATGGTACAGATACTCCAAAAATGTTGGAGAGAAGCAATAGCAGCATACCTTTTGAATTATACAAGAACCAGACTACCGTTGTTATTTCAAGAGAGGAGTTTGTAAGTGTTGTATGTGATGCCCTTTCTTTGTACAAGTATATCGGACCCAACCAGAAAGCTGACCTGCTCCTCGCTTGCAGGTAAAAACAACTTGCTTATCACTGTATTTATCTGTCCATTTAATGCACATATCCATCACATCAATTTCCATGCATGTTTGGCATTCCTTATTTAAGTGAAAGATATTTGTGGTAACAGAATTGATGTATTTAACCCTCAACAATTTATCACAGCCACTTCAAAGCAACCTGAAAGTAATTGATAATGTTTCCTTTTTTGTAACATTTCCTTTTTTCCCCTTTCCAACTGTTCTTATCAGAATTAAAGAGAGAAAGGAATCGGTGACAATACTCTTGTGTGGGACAAGCGGATGTGGCAAGTCCACTTTATCATCTTTGCTGGTATGTTTAATATCGTCTAGAACAATTGTCCATTTCAGGATTAGCAATTTTTGTACCATACAATCTAGTAAATCTGGCCACCGCAGCCTGGTCCAGACAGCTTGCTCAGATGTCCGATTCTAGACACCTGGTGCTGGATCTGCTGCCTGGCCGGCATGGCATGGCTCAGGTTCCAATCCAAACACACGCTTAGTAACAAGTGTCCATTATAAACAATCAACTTTGTAGCATCTAACCCCTTTTAGTTTCACTTACTGTTTAGTTGCTTTCCGAACTTTTTTTTTATCAAACTCAAAGAAATGAATGTGGCGCTCATGTGGGTTTCAACTCTAGCCTACCCCATCTTGCTTGGGACTAGAAGTTTGTTGTTGTTGTTGTTTTCGTCAAATAAATGAATGAAGTGAACAATTGATGAATCCTTGGTTTATTTTTTTTGTTCACCAGGGTAGTAGGTTGGGTATCACGACAGTAGTTTCTACTGATTCCATACGACATATGATGAGAGGCTTTGCAGATGAAAAACAAAATCCTCTTCTCTATGCCTCAACCTACCATGCAGGCGAGTATTTAGATCCTATTGCAGTTGCTCAGGCAAAGGCAAAGCACAAGGCAAATAAACCCGCAGTTGTTTCTCATCCAAATACCAGTGGAGGCAAAGATGTGACTTCAGATGACAAATCTCAGCAAGGATCCTCAGAATTACCTCCTAGAGCTGAATTGATTGGCAACAAGCAAATGGCAGTAGAAGGCTACAAGGCACAAAGCGAGATGGTGATCGACAGCCTGGACAGATTAATTACATCCTGGGAAGAGCAGAAAGAATCTGTGATTGTTGAAGGAGTGCATCTAAGCCTTAACTTTGTGGTACGTATTTGTTAAGAAACAGCACAGGATTTCATAAAATTGTTTAGTTTATGCTATTTTGCATTATTAAGTTATAATCTCATTTCTCCCAGCCACTGATTAAACTCTTCTTCTACTGCTAACCAACAGATGGGATTAATGAAGAAACATCCTTCCATAATACCATTTATGGTATACATTACAAATGAGGAGAAACACATGGAACGATTTGCTGTACGTGCAAAGTACATGACTCTAGACCCAGCAAAGAACAGATACATCAAATACATTCGAAACATTAGAGCTATCCAGGAATACCTATGCAACCGAGCTGACAAGCATCTTGTGCCGAAGATCAACAACACCAATGTTGACCAGAGTGTGGCTGCTATACATGCCACAGTCTTCAGCTGTCTTCGCCGGCGAGCAGCTGGGGAGCAACTGTATGACCTCAACACAAACACTGTTGCTGTAGTGGATGAGGAATACAGGAACCAGCGTGCAGCTAACACCTTGGGCTCTAAGGGCATGTTTCAGTTGATCCAAAGGAAGGGGTCTTCAAGGAATCTGATGGCACTCCTTAACACTGATGGTTCAGTCACCAAAGCTTGGCATGTAAGTGCAAGTGATGGCAATGGGGATCTTAATGGTATCACAAACAGCAAGAAGTCTGCTGAAAATCCTATGCTGGATGCCTCACAAATTGGGAAGGCAGAGGCGGTCAATCTCCAGTTTGGTCCTTTTGGGATCAGTGCCTGGATGAGTGACACTGGTGGAACCAGCCATACTGGAAGTGTAGAAGACCTGAGGGCTGATAGTGTCGAGACTGGTGGTAGAAATTATTCGTCATGCTGCAGTTCGCCAAAGATGTCGGACTCCACTTCGAAGGAGGTATGCCTTGATGTACAGTACCAGAATTATGATTTGAGTAGCATGTCAAACTCTGTCTTTTTCTGTCGGAAATGTTATGGTTATGGCATCTATTGCAGATACTAGAGGGTTTAACACGACCTTCTTTATTATAGAGAACTTCAGATTGTCCGCGTGCGAAATGATATGCCACATTCAGTACCCCTGCAAACTAACAGATGCTTTAACCTTACCAGCTTATGGAGGACTACTCGGTCTATGGCAGCGAAGAAGAAGAAGCTGACGACCCTCGTGATGCTGAAACTGATGAAGACCTAACTGATGAAGAAAGAGACATGCACGAGGTATGGGAGATTTATCTCTTTCAGTGTTCAACAACTTGGTTTTGATTTTTTTCTTATCTAGTTTCACCACACCATTACACTGCAAAACTGAGGACGACACTGAATTTTCTCTCGCGTCACCGGATACTTGCAGATAGATGCAGGCTCTGTGGACGAGCACTCGACCAAGTCGGACGAGGAATACGAGGACTTAGCCATGCGGGATGTGATGGAGAATGGCGACTGGTCTGACGACGAGCAAGCTGTGAGCAAAACCATGAACTCACCAGCTCTGGAGAGCATCCATGGGAGTGGGGCAGCTGAAGATGATGGCATAAAGGGCCGGTACCACCACAACCTGGACCTGTTCCTGAAAATGTCCAAGGAGGTAGCCGGCACCAGAATGCCATGCGCGTCATAGCGCCACCGGGGTGAAGAGAAGGCCAGCGACACGCTGCGCTGGTCCCAGCGGGTGATGTGTTTCTTGGGCACCTGCTTTTGTGATGCTCTGAGCTGTGCTGTAGAGTGTACACTGGTGGCTGTGGCTTTGTAGCATGTACCTGTCCAAACTACAAAATGACCTCACCTGGCTGTAAAGAGAGGACCTGATGCTTTGTCCAGGCAACCGTGCCCTATCATATCCTGTAGCAGTAGGAGTATTATTATCTTTGGCAATAATGTTCCGGGCAAAGGGCAACATCCTTGGGGAAAACAAAGTAAGACCCCTGCTGTTAATAAAGTCACCTCACGTGGCTAAAATATGTGCCATACATACATGTCCTTAGGTTGAACAATATAGTAACACGGATAAAAATTTGCACGAAGTTCTGAACATTATGTCATTGATTGATGCGTCATCTAATCTAAGGCTAACTACAACATTTGATGAACATTATGCCAACGTTGAGTGGTGGGAAACAACTGATATTTGAAGAGCTGCTCAGATGCTGGCATTTGACAAGTACCAGAAAACATGCATTTGATTTGATTTCAGAAAAATGTCAGTAAACTGAAGGCAGGCTTTACAGAGATTAACATCACCATGAACCTTACTTATACAATGACTGATGAAACCCAAGGAAAAAGGATAATCTACAGCTGTCCTTGCTTCCCATCATCTATGATCCTAAAACCTTTTATCCTTCTGCTAATTGCTTTGCTTCTTCCACAATATTTTGCACTTCTTTATCCTGCTGCTTCAAGAGGGGAAAATAAACCATACAAATATACAACTCTTTCCTCAAGGACAAGCAAAATCTCTTCATATTTTCTCATTCTTTTTATTTATTTCCAGAGGCTCTCCTTTATTTACATCAAGGGATTTGGGAGCCTTTTTTAACCTCTCCTGTTGTACTCACTCAATATTACTGACTACTGGTAATGGTAAAAAGCTAGGCCTCGCTATCTGTCTGTCTGTCTGTACAGGTGTTATTCTGTAACCTAACCATTGCCATCTCAGCAAGAGGATGGGGCACCAATGCGCCGTTCTGAAAGATGATCAAAACACAAGCAAAACACAAACAGTTCAGTGGCCAGGAAAGGTCAAACAAGGATTAACGGTTATCAGTATATAGCTTTGGGTCTTGGGATTTTTTTTACCTCCTGCGGCAATAAGCTTCTCAACACGTGCCACAATATGCTTCCCATAGGTGTATCTTTTCAGTGCATTCAAGTGGACCTTGATACGGGAAAGTATCAATTCACGGTTCTGGTCATCACATATCTCTAGAACCTTCTGCACCACATAGTTTGCGAACTGGTCTTTCATCATTGCCTGGAGAACATAAGTTCACATTACAGGTGTTGTTAGAAACTTAGAATGCATGGAATTCAACCCTGCAGCAGCAGAGCCCTGTACTACCTTTTTTTTTATATATAAAAAAGTAAGCTCAGTCCAATTGTTCAAAACAAACCTGTAACGGCTCATTCTCATCAGTTGTGCCAAGCATTTCATTGATCAGAATCTGGCGTTGCTCAGGATTACCAAAAGTAAGACACTTCTCAACAACATTAGAAGCAAATTTCTGCTGGCTCATCTTCACTATCTGTCCAGCGAGTTGTGTAATTATAGTAGAACGCTCTTCTGGGTTCCCATGCTGCAGGACATGCTGCAAAACAAGAAATGGGATTATAAAAAAGCTATTTCTCAAAAATGGAATGAACAAAAATGAAGCGTAAGGCAACGGCGAGTCAATACAGAACATCGTAACATAATACAACACTTTAAAACAAAATAAAACAATTGAAAGTCAAATACCACTTGACTTAAACCACCAGTTGTGAGATACGTAAGCTAATAGGCACAAGAGATAGCGCTAAAATGATTGACAGAAGAACGATTCAGTGCCTTTAATAGTATGGCATGGGTGAAGTTGAGGTCTAACTCAGGGAGTATATCAGAAAAAGAACAGGAAATGAATAGACAGTTACCTGTATTACATAATTACCATACTGGTCCTCTGTTAAAGTAACCACAGACTGCATGATCTCTTCCATCATGGCATTTTGTGTGCTTTCATCATCACAATGCTCCAATACCCTCTGGCGATATCCAAGAACACATTTAGGAAAATCTATCTATATATAAAAAAAAGATGGCAAAACCAGAGGAAGGTCAATGTAGCACCTGAATAACACGGCAACCATAGGGATGCATGGAAAGCTCCACCACATGTCCGTAAAAGGCAGAAATGATAAATCGTATCCTCTCCTGAGGGATGCATTCTATACATTTTTGGATGACATGGTTGCCATTCTGATCACGAACACATCTCATGATAGATCCATCAAGCTCCGAAGCCATTTGTGTTTGTTGTTCCACTTCAACAACTTCCAAAGCCTACAGAAAAACAAGTACCCTCCTAAGCCTCCGCAGAAGTTATTTTGATCACTATATGACTGGGATTTAAACTAATGGGGTGGAAACATTGCTTGTAGCAGTATACAAACCTTCTGAATCACCCGGCAGCCATACATTTGTAGACACAGCTGTAACACATAACCCTTGAGCAGGGTTGCCAGTTGCTTCGTTTGTGTTTCAGTTCCGTATTCAAAGAACTGCCAAGCTCAAATAATTACTAATTAAAAAACTAAACTCTCAATTATAAAATGAATATGCAAATCGTCAAAAAACAAACCAGACTCGTTCTGTTATGAGGGTTACTCACCTTCTGTATAACATAGTTTCCGAAAACATCAGTCATCAAAGTACATGCCTGGGGAAGTATCTCAGGAAAAATCATATTCTTCTCTTCAATAGAAGCAGTTTCTAGTTTCTGCTGTATAAAGCGACTCCCATACTGATCCGAACTGAAAGGTCAGAGAGAGAACCATATTAGCTTCATATCAAAACAAATGAACTTGACTCTGTTGGAATTCCAAGGAAATAGTACCTGAACTCTACCACATGGCCTACAATATCTAACAGCTCAAAAGATCTGGTTTTGTTAGTTTTGAATTCCTCCAGCAGGGAGGACCCATAACCATTATCCATCAGACCATTCTCTGAATTCCATGATCCCATGGATCCTCCAGCAGTGTTCCTCACCACGGCTGGAAGTCGAGTCAGTCGATCTCCTTGCCTAACATGGCCTTGAGGAGATGGCATATACGGACTAGATGGTGGGCTTGTTAGATAAGTCATTCCAATGCCAAATGCAGGATCGTTGCCATAGATATTTTGATTAAGAGCACCAGACTTGCTCAGGTATGGCATCCCATACTGTAGCTTTTGCTGGGCAAATAATGACCCAAGGTAAGCTTTTTGGTATCCAGGACTATCCAAGTGTCCTGAACCAGTAAAACCCCTCCCTTGGAAAGGACTCATGCTTGCAGCTGAACCAAGGGGGGAATCAGGGTTTGCCTGCAGGTATTGTGCATACATTGTCTCTGTTGGTTGGCCCTGATAACTCGATCCACCACGGTTCGAAAGAACATTGCCATAGTCACCATCTGGACATGAAAACATGGTTCAAAAGGTGAGTGAGTGAACGACAGACAAGCAAGGGGAGAGGAAGAGAGATGGGGAAGGGGATTAAGGGTACCAGGATTCAGTTGATTGTTCAGCATGGATGAAGTAAAACCGCCTGCATGAGTCTTCATATGCCGTCCAGATGCATCAATGCCATGGTTATCACCATTCAAGTTCTGGTAGTGAGAAACTGATCCAGCTGAGCTCATCAAAGATCCTTTCTTGTTCGCATTACCGTGTGGTGACTGCATAGGGAACTTGCTATTGCTATGGGATGCCAGCTTACTAGCATGCAAATTACTGAAGTTGCTCCCCCCATTTGGAAAAACTGCATATTCAGGGGCATTGAGCGAGTCTTCATCGGTATTTTGAGTTAAATTTTGTGGTGAAAATTGCCTATGTTCCTTTGGAACATTAAACAGAACATCTGCCTGGTCACCAAAGTTCTGGTAAACATGATTCTGAACTTCATTTTCCACATTCAACATCTTATTTCCAGATAGGCTTAAGCTCGACAGAGTTGCCGCAATGTCAGCACCATCATGATTAAGTGAAGCAACAGCTGCAGCTTCTACTTTTTTATCAGAACTCCCCATCCGAACTCCAACTGGAGGAAGGCAAGGACTTGGAGTTCTCCGTATCAGCTGGGGGTCAGGTGTGGTGCTTCTTGAGATAGATGAACCTACTGCAGAAGCAAAGGTATGAGACATTGAAGAACCAAGACTTTGGACCCTGACCAGACTGGGTGAAGTGGATCCAGATCGCAGGCCATTCATGGATTCTGATCTATTCTGCAGTTGTGGCTTGGGTGAATCAGATGACCTGATTGGAGTTGGGCCCTCAAGAGCATTACGGCTATTAGAACGTGAAAGATGACCGGTTGTAGCAGCAGGACGGCTAATATTTTCCTGCCATTGAAACAATTGCAGATGAGAATAAGAAAACAAAACAAAATGAAAAACACAGTAATAAATATAGTGGTGATAAATTGTAGCAGTAGCCTATCAATATCTGTGCACTTAGTTTCATATGATAATGTCAGGCACAAAAAAAATACAATCACCTTGCCATCCATCAAGTTCAGCAGTGAACATACCTCTGGTGGATTTTAAAGTTACTAGAAGTATGATTTGCAGGCAAAGTGAATAATCTGCTAATTACATATATGCATTCTGTCCCAAATAGTTCAAAAAAGAATTTCACTATGTACTCGGTGAGCAAAAATAAAATGTTTGCTTATACAGTTATACTGAAGATGGGTAATATAATTCCATTCAACAACAATGAGTGCTTCTACTGAAGATGTAACTACAGAAACAAAATGAAACCGAAATCAACGATGAAATATGCTGCAAACCTGCAATGCATCAGCAAAGCTCTTGTGCCGAGACCCAAGGCCATTGACATCTGACAAGCCAATGAGCCCATCGGCGCCTCTCAAGAGCCACTCAGATGACTGCTGCCGTGCGAGCCCATTCCTTTCACCCCTCCCCATTCTATCGCTCAGCAGCGCCTTCTCTCCACCAACCTCTCGTGCCCCTGGCTGCACTGAGAACAGCGAGTTTCCACTCCCAACCTCTGAAGGCCTCCTCCTCCTATCCCCGATGCCTCCAGCCACAGCCTGGAACCGCTGCGCTGCACGCCAGTCCTCTTTGGAGACCATTGGTGGCGGAAGCCTTGGGTTGAGGTGCTCGTTAGAATAGTAGTACGACAGATACGCTGGGTGGGACCGTATCTCCTCCTCAGTGAGCATGTCAATGTCAACACCAGTCCCGCCGCCGCTGCCGCCACCAACAAGGCTGTTGGCGTGAAGCGGCGGACCAGAGAAGAGCGCGCCAATGGCCGTGCGAGAGCCCTCGACGGTTGGGGGAGCGCTGCCGCTGCGGAAGATGCTGAGCTCGTCTGCGGGGGATGTGGTTTTGGTCCATGAGAACTGCCTGCAGGTCGCGCTCGAGGTCCTCAAAGGTGGGGCCAGCCGCCGCCGCCGCTTGAGATGGAGCCATCGCCGTAGCCCTCTGCCGTTGTTTCAACCTGCTTCCTTCCTTCCTTCCTTCCTTCCTTCCTTCCTTCCTTCTTGGTTTCCTTCAATCCTAAACCAGTAAACAGATGGTGATCAGTACTGTCCTTTTTTCCCCCAAAGCTTTGTGTGGAGTCGAGTTGTAACCCGAAGGTATGCATGAAAATTGAACTGGAAGAATGATCGATGCATCTTTATGAGAAGATCTTGATTACAGAAGACATGAAATCGTTTCAATCCCAAGTTCCTCTGTTAATTCTTCTATTAAAAAGAATCCGGATTATAAGTCCAGCCTTTAAGGGAAGTACAGGGAGCTGGCGCATCAAGTTACCTTGGACAGAAGAAACAAGAACCAAACCAAACCAAACCAAAACACTAAGCCAGCCACTGGAAACCTAACTTGCAGGAGACTCCGCGACAAAACTTGATGGGAAAACATCCTAATCCGCGGACGAAACACCCAAACATTCATTCCCTAGCCCAACTAAGATATTATAGACATATATAGATAGAAAAAATGGAACCAAACAAAAATACAAACACGGCATGGCAGTCCTACCCCTACCCGAGGAATCGATCGGGTACCTAGGCGACACCGCCGAGAATCAATCTCACCTCTAGAACGGGCGCCGCCGCCGTAGCAGCAGCATGAAACAGGCAGCCTCGCCTCCGCGAACCGAGCGCCTCCAATCCACTACGGAGCCGCCGGCCGCGGTCCCATCCGACGGTGGCTGGATTCCCGCGCGCGCCGATCGAGGATTTATTTAGGGTTTGGGGGTGGATTGGGGAATTTTCCGGAGGGAGGGAAGGGCGGAGGCGGCTGCTGCGGCCGGAGCGAGGCGAGGCGGCAGGCGAGAGCGAGACGAGACGTGACGAATGGGAAAGGAAGGGAGCGGAGGCGGAGGCTGAAAGCGACGTGTGGCCTTTTCTTCCTGGAGACCGGTAGCCCGCCTCCCCACCAGCTCCCAGCCGTCGGATGTCCCGCTGCACGAATCTCAAAGCGCCGTATTGCGCTTGCGCATAAGCCAGCCGCCAGGTACTCGTCCTCTATCGCTGCCTTGCAGATCATAAAGGCAGATGAGGTGCACGTATATATAGGAGTACTAGTAGTAGGTACCCCGTGCGGCCCAATTTTTTATTTTTAGCCTTTAAAAAATCATAAATATACCCCTAAAGTATGATTTTCAAAATCTGTACCATTAGCTTAGGTTGGGGCCACGTTGGCGACGTGGAAACTGACATGGCAGTCAGCTCGGCGCCGGGGATCAAACTCGGCGTCAACAATCCTAGCGCCAAGCCCTCTCTTACGTATGGGTCCTCCCTTCCTTTCTCTCTTTCTCTCTACCGAGCCGTCATCACGCCAAGACTTGCATGCGCCGCGGCCGCCTCGCGTTTGCCGGACATCCCTTCGTCACCGCACCACAGCCGCGCCACAGCTCAGCGCGGTCGCCCGTCCCAAGCCTTGAGTAAAAATTATGAATATGCAATGTAGGTACTTAGTTAGCTTTGATTGTAATGTAGTAGTTCGATTATTTATTATTTACTAGTTAATGTGATGACTCAGATAGTTGATTTAGTTAGTGATCTAGTAAGATAGATATGTAGATGGATAGAAATATAGATATATAGGTACATAGATATAGTTAGATATATAGATAGATAGAAATATAGATACATAGGTACATAGATATGGCTATTTTATGAGTACAATGTATATATATACGTAGTTATTATCTTATTTACTTAGTTTATAGTTAGAAAATACTTGTTAGGTACTATCTATCGTCTAATTTGGATTAAAGGACATGTGTTTGAACTAGATGTACAACCTAGTGCCACTGCGTTGTGGATGTGGGTCCACTGTCTCAGTGACTGGGACCAGACGGGTCAGTACAGCTGGGGCTCTTCAGTCTTGGGTTTTCTTTACCGGCAGCTTTGCGAGGCGTGTCGTCGGACTTCGTCCACAGCGTCACTTGGTGGATGCGTGTATCTGCTCTAGTTGTGGATGTTGGCTCGTCTATCAGTTGGTCATCTCGAGGTTCTGGCTCGTCGTGAGTGGTTCCCTGGTTAGCCTCCACGTCAGCAGCCGACGTGGGCGTATCTTTGGGACCAGGTTAGGGTTTCGCACGTGAGGTTACATCGGGCGTACATTGAGTTCATAAACGAGCTAGACACACTCACGGCGTCTAGTGTAAGTAAATTTTATTTCACATGCTGGTTTGAAATGATTTAGTATAGCATCTAACATCTTGTTTGAATATGTTGCAGGTGTCATAGGAGTCGTACGATGGAGAGAGGGCACTTTCTTTTCAGTTGAGCAACATGTGTGGGTGCAACGACGACTTCTATAGGATGAGGTGCCCTCTAATCTGTTTCTATGCTGTCGAGTTCCACCTGCCAGATAGAGTTGCACGTTAATTTAGAGTGAGACAGCTTTGGCCAATGGCTCTATTTTTGACTGGCGTTGACTTACACAAGTAAGTGTTTTGCTATTTCAATTGTCCCGTGATGGTCCATTTCTATTAATATGGTGACATATACATAGATTCAAGTAATGATGACATACGTGCAGGTTGGATCGTTAGAAGAACAAAAAGATTTTTGACTGGAAGAAGCACCACCAGTACTACATTGAGCAATGGGAGCTGTTGCACGACAACATGGACGAGAACAACGAGCCGCATACGAACCGTGAGTTCAAAGCGCTACCAAGCTTGGTACCAACGTGTGACAATGGATAGAAGATGACTACGCCGATATCGAGTCCTCCGATGATGAAGACTACGACGTATGACCAATCTACTCGTGCAAGAAGACATGTGAAGGCAGGACCAATCTTGGACAGAGTGGTAAGTCAATTGCCTTATTTTTCTACGTTAAGTTACATACCAATACATTATGCGTTAGAGGTATCTATTTTAGTTAGTGCCACATTTGAGCCATAGCATCCTTATAATATGTTAGATTCTTGTACAAAAGAAAACAAAACATGTTGCTATCTGTTGAGAAGTATTATTATTAAGAACTTTGTTGCGGGACAATACCCTCAAATGCTCCGTTGAAGATATTGAGCGCTTTCATTCGAGAGTTAGGGACGACAACACGCGTAGCTTCCTAGACGTAAGATTTAAAATATTCTTTCAAACATATTATTAATACGTTAGATTCTTTCAGTTAACATAATTTTGTACAACAGAGGCTGTCACGTCGGCTACGCCGTACGGCTGCTTGTTGTGGTTGCAGGACACCCACGACGCAAGACGTGTACGTTCCTTCCGCAGACAGAGGAGTCTTAGGTTCCTCTAGCCAAGCACCTACAGGGGACGAGGACGAGGATGACGACGACGGCGATGTGGACCAGAGGCACGATGAGCTTGTTCTCTCTCAGCTCCAGGACGCTCCCTCGACTCAGCCTACATAGCCTTCATGCACTAGGCGACGTCGTCCACCTAACCTTTACGCTTCAGGTACCAACGCTCTTGGTCACAAGGGTAAAGGTAAGACTAAGAGGCAGTGGGAGTTTGTGGTAGATGTTAGTATGTACTATTATGGATTTTGTAGTTACTTTCCTATAACTATTTAGGATTGTATGGACATTGTGGACTATTTAGACTATGCAGAATATGTTATGTCGATTGTGATGTTCGATGTGGTTGTATTGTGCTTTTTGAATGATTAAATGTTTGGATTATATATTGATGTCTCTGTTTATAACTGTGGATGCTCCTGAAACAAGGGAAACTCTTGCAAAAAAATTTCGTGAATCATTAATTATACTACACTACTAAAAAGGCACAAATATAGTACATAGATTAAATGTAAATTCATTAGAACGTGTGTAGTACAATCGTATTAGACGCTTTGCAGATGAATCTAGGCTTTTCAGTAATCGTGAACAAATCTAGACTTTTCAGACAATGAAAATAGACTTTTCAGTTACAAGGATGAGGAGTGTGATGACAACAGTTATTTATCACTTCACTTACACAGTACACCTATAACATCTAGGATTTTCAGTAACAACGAACGAATCTAAACTTTTCAGACAATGAAAATAGACTTTTCAGTTACAAGGACGAGGAGTACGATGACAACAGCGATTTATCACTTCACTTACATAGTACACCTATAGCATCTAGGCTTTTTAGTGATTTATCATATCAACGACGAATAGACTTTTCAGGAAACGAATCTAGGCTTTTCAGTATCTATTGAAATAGGCTCTTTAGTGAAACTAATTAGGCTTCTTGTGACTAGTTATAACACATTGAAACGACAACTAAACATGCCTCTGCCTATATATACGCAATGCTGGATGCACTGCTACTTACTTCCCAACTAGTATTTTCTTTCGTTGCAGTACCAATGTCTGGAGGATCGTCCAGAGGGAGAGGAAAGGGGAAGGGAACTACCATTGTGTGGAACAGTTCTCTTGGTCCCGATTTCTTTGAGGAATCTCTTTATGAGAGGTTCCTAGTTGAGAGCAAAAGTGATATCACCAAAGAGGCACCACTAAGAGGATACGATGAATGGAAAAAAGAGTGGCCAAAATGCATGCATGATGAGAACTGCCTAGTGCAGATGTTCACCGAGAGAATAGATGGAGGTCATCATTTTTTTAAATGCCCGCGAGCATGGGTAATTGCTATTACTATTTGTTTCTTCAATATGTTCTTCTTCTATATAACTTACATGACATACTTATTGTAGTCTTCCTTGGTCCAAGAAAACTGTGGGTTCACTAGGTGGGTCGATCCTCGACCTATTTATTCGCATGCGAAGTATATCTACTACTTGCAGGACCGTATCTTTGATCTAGAAAGGGAAGTTAGCAGCGGTTATAAGGACGACGAACAGGACGACAACAACAATGGTGCCAATTCACAGGAGGCACTCTGCAATGATCTATATTGCACCTGTCCTAACCACAAGAACAAGGGGCCTCCACCGTCACCCCAGCCACCACCACCACCAACAATGGGAGGCTACTGTGGAGAAGGTGCAACACATTTTGCTATGTGGCCACACTATTAGGACGACCTTATCTTATTCACATGGCACATCCATGTGTTTGTTGTTTGGTTTAATTACCTAAGTGTCGGTGTTTTGGACTAGGGGGTCCTCAACCGGCTAGTGAAAGTATACTGCATGTTCCTAATCCTGGATGGTGATGCAAAAAGACATAAGGTTTATACTGGTTCAGGCAATAGGTGCCCTACGTCTAGTCTGAGGGAGCGATCTTGTATTCCTTGCACCAAGGTGCTTGTAGTAGGGGCTTACAAGCTAGGCGAGAGAGGGAGCTAGCCCCAGGTCTCTGTGAATTGCAGTGCGTGTTGCTTGAGATGTTGATCTCTTGCAGTGAAGGAGTGTGCATGTTACAGAGTGTTGTGCGTGACTTGCACCGGTGTGTCTGTGATTTCCCCCCTAGAAGTGGCCCTGGTCACTCCCTTTTATAGTCGAAGGGAGGCACAGGGGAGGTACATGTATCTGCTATGTGGCGTTCTTCGGCAGGGGCAGCATGTCCGAGCCCTACAGCTTGTCACTGTGGCGGCGTGGTCGGTGGAGTGGTCTTGTCCTCCGTGCACTGGGGCGACACGCCGGTCACGCCTGATCCCGTGCGACGTGGGAGCTCCTATGGTGGCAGGCGCGCCTTCTTCTATTGGAGGCGTGCTGGTCACTGTATGTTTGACCGGCGCGGAGTGCCGAGGCTCGGTTGATGCGATGGCGTGGGTACGCTGATTCCGAGGCTACAGGAGCTAGGCCCTGTGCATGACGTGGGAGCTCCTGCAGCCCGACGCAGGGCATGGCGCGTACTGCGGGCGATGTGCCGGTCCCAGAGTGCTGACAACGTAGAGAGCCGAGGCCCAGTTTGATGCAGAGGCCGGACCGTCGTGGGGGGCTCGGCGGGCATGAGTCCCGAGGCTACAGGAGCCCGAAAGCGGGTAGCCGAGGCTCAGAGGGAGCAGTTGGCCTTGCACGTCGTTTCCGAGGCTATAAGGACCTAGACATGACTTTCCATGCCTGGGCAGGGGTTAGGCAGCACAGCGTGGCATGGGTGTCCGTCGTGGGCATAGTGCCGAGCACAGCGGCCGGTAACCCCTGCCCCGTCCTGTCTCGAATAGCATGGGGTTGATGTGACTCCCGTCTCGTTGGCCACTCCGCTGTACCGTGCCGTCGTGCGGCTGACGTTGTGGGAGTGGTTGAACGCTTTAGTTGGATGTGATGTCCCGTCAGAGAAGTCGATCAAAGCGGCGGTGACGGGGCTGATGCCGAGCCAGCCTCGAGCGAGTCGGTAACTGGGTGCTGGTCCGAGGCTTCGTGGCACGGGGCCTCGAGCGAGTCGGAGAATCGATACCTCGTCTGAGGCCTTGAGGTGTGGGGCCTCGGTCGAGCCCATATATTTG